AATTACGTCACAATTCGTGTTTTGTCACAAGATGACTAATACAATTTTGTAATCAACATTATGACGACACTTTGTCAATATTTTGTAACTTAGAGGTTATTCTCACGCGCGATTGTAGTCGCGTCTTATATTACAATTGTCAGAAAGTTCTCTCAAAGTTAAAAACAACTTGATTCATGCAATTGTTTATAGTCACAGAAATGTGTATTAGATTATTATAAGGTAGGCTGGCGAAGCAAAAAGTTATCCTGTCGATAGGGACAGAAAAGACTTTACTAAAGCACTTTAGAGAACCAGATTCGAACTTCAATCAAGGATAACAAACGATGCTACTGAATTAATTAATAAAGGGAGACATACACCAAAACTACCCGTTTTCACACTCGTTAATGGTCACTTCTCCGTTTCTAAAGCTTATAGCTTTATGTTACACTAGCTGAGACCTACGGTGTTACCCGCGTTTGTTGTTATAACCGCGGGCAACGCCGCGGGGCGAAGCTAGTCTAAAAAAAATAGCCTAAGTTACTCCTTATGACATCAGCTATCTGCCAGTGAAAGTCCCGTCGAAATCAGTCCAGTCGTTCCAGAGATTACCCGGAACAAACAGACAGACAGACAAAAATTGTAAAAATGTTATTTTGGCATATGTACGGTTAGTAGCGGTTATTTTAACGTTACAAACAGACACTCCAATTTTATTTATTTGTATACATAACCAATGACTATCCTCAAAGAATTCTCTATCCAATAATTTTTTGACTTCGACCGGTAGTTTCAGAGATTTGATCGTTTATACAAAGAATATGAAATAAAAACTTACTTCAGCTATTAGAGCCTTTGTACGCGGCGTATTTTTAACGCGCCGACGAACGTTGTATTTTTAACGCGTTTTAAACAAAATTCATTACAGACAGTAAACATTTGCATACGTTCAAAAATTTTGTGGCGCTGTAAACACGCATTTGTATCTACACAAACACGCTGATACGGCGATGTAAACGCGCTGTGGTCGCGTATTATTCGAATGCGAAAATCTGCTTTTTGGAGATCTACAGCGCTGTAAGCGCAGTTTAAAAATACGCCGTGTGCAATAGACTTTTTAATATTAGATAGACATTCAATCCCTTTCTTTCTTAGATGTATGTATGCACATATTTATGTTCTTTTTCATTTTATCAACAGGAAACTTTTACCCTTACACTACTCCTATCTATTCTGGCTTTACAATATTTCTATGAAGATAAGCTTTGCTGTTTGCCGCACCAGGGTGTGTCGTTGAGGTACTATTACTTTTCTAGTTTTCAGACCGCGATTTTATTAAACCTTTCTACACAAATATATGTAAGACCAGCTGGTATTATCTAGAACGCAACTGCAGTCCATGAGGACGCGGGTTCGATTGACGAACCGGGCAAAATTTTTATAGGGTTTTTCTGAGAGGAAAAAAGCCCAAGTTACTTCTTATATAGACAGTTACCCGGTCGTGAAATATTATCAAAATAAATCCAGTCCTTTTGAAGATTACTGGAAACAAACAGACAGACAAAAATGTTTAAACTGGTTTTTAGGCATAGGTATCGTGCAAATAACCGTGTCAGCACGAAAAAAAAAACATATTATTTTGACATTACAAAGATACACTTCAATTTTATTTATTTGTATAGATAATTATTTATTTGTATGCCTTATTTCAAATCGAACAGCGATAGCTTAATGGCTGGTTGCTTAGTTAATAGCTTAATAGTCGTGGGTTCAAACCCTTCATACTACTGTCGTGAACCCCATTCATACAAGCTTTTATGTTATCTGAAGTGGTTAGTAATGCATAACCCATCATCATGGGGTGCCATCCTCAAAATGAAGTTTGGAGGTCAGCAGACGGTACACCTCTCGATCATGAGCGGAGTCCAGGCCACGATGTCATCTATCCACTTCCTTCGTGGTCGACCCGGTGTCCATAACCCACATTACTAGTATTTTTTTCCTAAATTTAAGTAAATCGTTGTCAGTTCAATGCTAGCGACGACCGACTGTTTGACTTGCAACAATTTTATTTACATAAAGTACACATATCATGTTATTTCTCTTATCGTCTTTTATATAGAAAGGTCTAGAAAAACCACGATTGGTGACAAAAAATGACGTCAGACTGATATGATTACACGTTCAACACACAAAGGCAGGGTAGCCCAAAGAAAATATTATCATACGTTCTTCTCTATTATCAGTGTTGCCATCAATAACGTATTTTTACAGAACAAAGACATAATAAAACTATTCAATTCAAATTTTCTTTCAGTTAAGGTATTAAATTAATCATATTAAAATATAAATATGTAAAATTTATGATTGCTATAAATCGGTACCTCGCACGTAAAGGATTTGTGCAGGGTTTTGAGTGTCATTTAAAAAGTTGATGTTTTCTTAGAGATAACTATCAGTCACAGTCACGAATTTAGAACTAACATATGGTTTTTCTCTTCGGATTTGAATACAATACTTATTTCGCCCTATTAATAATAATATAATAATAATATTTTCACACATTTCACACACGGCTGTCTGGTCCCAAACTAGGCAGAGCCTGTGCTATGGTAAACAGACTGCTGATAAACATACTTAATATATTTCTAGATACATACATATTATAGATAAAGTAAAGTAAAGACACCTAGACACAGAACAAATGACCGTGCTCATCACACAATTATTTGTCCTGGGTGGGAATCGAACCCACGACCTCTGGCATAGCAGTCAGGGTCACTAACCAACAGGCCAGTCAGATCAGTTCTCAGTCAGTTTTAATGAAATTTATTTGAGTATATTAGAGTTTTTTTTTTCAGATATTTTAGGGCAAATGAGGTGACTAGGAGAAAGGAGTAATTGACTTTAAACTATATTTACAGTTTCGTCAAATACAATGATGCTAATTCTGTTGTTCGAAAACTCTCTAAACTAAACTAAAAATACCTAAAAATTTGTTTAGTCCCGCCAAATAACGGTTCGTATTCTGAAAACGTAGTACTTGACAGTTCTAAACTAAATTTTAGTGATATTTAGTTTAGTTTAGAGAGTTTTCGAACAAAAAAATTAGCACCAATATTGGGTACTTCAGTGATAAAGCTTAAACTTGCTACGCTCTTAATTTCGGTTTACTTTGAAAGCTTGTGAAAACACTATTATGAATCGCTGGCAGGTGTTAAATTTAGTGTTTATTTTATTGTAATGAGAGGTAGACGGAGTGTTTGGTTAACCGGCCAGACGGGAGGCTCAGTGGAAAGCGACTACCGCCGTTCATAATAAACTCTTTTCTTGGAGGTTTGGAGATCGTATCGATCCGGGTATACTCTTTTTTTTTAAATATTTTAGATATGTAAAGTCTGCCATAGAAACTAATATTTAAAAAGGACTGTCTTAATAAATTTACCGGGTTCCCTTGCCTTTTGTTGGTTGGAACCAGCCGAGCTGTCGGCTAAAAATAAAACCAGAATAGGACTTCAAATAACATTAGCCTAGTAACAACACTAGCATAACTAGTCAATGATATTGTTGTTCAGTTTATACATTCAAATCCGAGGCGAAATCTAAGTAGAAATTAACAATCGCCGGACTAAACTGTGTACTTTGAGAGATCTTGGTATCAATAGTATCGTTCAAAGCCTAACCTTGTGTGTTATGATTACTATATTGTACTGATTTCCTCCACTGCTTCTAAGTTAAACATTTCTATTATTAGATATCATTGTGTCTCGCAATCTTTCATAAATATTATGAAAATACTAGCTGACCCGGCAAACGTTGTTATGCCATATACATTATTTCAAAAAAAAAGACAAAAAAATAATAATTAGGTGTATGAAAAATAGATGTATGCCGATTCTCAGACCTACCCGATATACACACAAAATTTCACGAAAATCGGTTGAGCCGTTTCGGAGGAGTTCAACCAGGCACACCGTGACACCAGAATTATTGTTGGTGAGATTTTTAAATCTTTTTGAGTTACGCTTTATATCTGTAAGATTAACTGAACCTATAAGTTTATCGATTGCCTTTTAAATTGATTATTAGAAGATAGTTTTGAATATAAACGATATGTTTTAGATTTATTTCGACTACGGTTAAGATTCATTAATATGTGACCTTGACCTGTCTATTTAAATAAATTTATTAGGTACTAAGGCACAATCGTGAGTTCAGTAAATCAGTTGTATTATCAACCAAGACCCAGCTATCAACACAAAGGATCAACACAAGGTGATCCTTTGTGATGGTGATCTAGAAAAAACGCTCTTAAGTGATTACGCTTAAGAGCGTTTTTTCTAGTTTGTGATTGAACGTCGTAAGTTCGGATGTTTTAAAAATTATGTTTTGGTATTGACCTGTAGCTCTTAAAAAGAACAAACCGATATCTTTGTTAATTTTTAAAACAGACGATTTGTAACAATCTATGTTTTTTATTTTGGCTTCTGGAATCTCATAAGCGTTATATTATAGAAAAATACTAGAAAAATATTTTATACTAAAAGTAACCACCTAGGTTATTCTTGCTAACGACTTAAAATATCAATTCTGAATTTAGTAGACTAATTAGCGTTTCTTGTAGTACAGAAAAAAAACTATTTACGAGCTAATTCTGAACGATTTGCTCAAAAAACAAATTACAAATCAGAAGTATTGTTTTCGAGTTTTGTGTACCTAGTAACTGTGTCCGTTGAATCTTAATATCACATCACTAATTTAATTAAAAACACCTCTTAAAACTTCAATTAAATTAAGGTTTACTTTATTTTTTTTTTGTAAAATCTTCTTTTCATAAATAACATAGGATAGCATATCAGTACAATATAGGCAAAAAAACCATAACAACAACGACCTATACGAAGACTATGATACAGGATTCGTACAAATCAGATTGATTAAGGCAAGCTTTTTAAAATTACCTCACGATTTTTATCTTACAATACAAAAATAATCTAAAAACTAACTACCCTGTTATCTTAATTAACTCCTTCGGTTTTTGGTGCTGCTTCTGGTCTTTCTAGAAGTTTCCGGACCAATCTCCAATCTTCCATGATATCAGCATCAGGCAGCATGTAAACTACGTATGGAGGGGAGACAGTCACCTGTCTCCTGCGTCTCTTTCGACCCCACTCAGGTCCGCAAGACCAGAGGTCGACGGCATGACGTTCTTCTTCAAGCTTGCGTATCTTCTCTAGGACTTCTTCTTTGATGTTCTCATATGCGAGCCACTTTTCACTCTGTTAACAAAGAAAAAAAATGTTATGAATACATACAGTAGGGTTTTTTTTTTATTTTATTTATAAGTGAGCAAAGCTTAGTGACTTTTCTATATTAAAAAAATAAAACTACAAAAAAAGGAAAATAAATTATAAAAATAAAAATAAATAAATCACATCCTCAAAAAACGTAATCTATTTTCAAATTAAAAATCATTTCCTCAAAACGTAATATATTTTCAACTACTGATATTTATACCTATGCCAATGGCCACTCGATGGCATCTCGATAGCGTGTCAGTGGTATGACACTGGCTTGGCGTGAACATAAAATAGCAGAATTGAGGCCCAGGCCCTCTGTCCACTAAAATCCGTTGAAAAGTTCCATGTGCATAGTGCAAGTGCATAAAAATCCAGTATGCACTTTCATGTCAACTTTAATACGCTCAACAGATTTTTACGAGAAACGGATCATTTAGGATATACTAGTTTCGAAAAATACATTATAGGTTAGTGGTATACAAGGAACGTTTTTCTTTTTCAACACCAAGGTCAAAAAGGTCATTTACAAGATAAATTTGACTTTTACTTATCACTAGATGATTGTGGAACACTGCTGCCTAGACTAGGCGTCTGACTGTATTTAGAATAGAAACTAAACCTGAATCTGAGGCCTGGTAACGAGGTTTAGTTTCTATTTCTTTTTATTTTACAATATAGAGCAGATTTGTGTTGAAATCTATTTTACAGGGTGATGTCAGGGTTACTTATTTATTTTATGTGTACACGTGCGTATGCGAGTGTGTGTGTTTGACACACAATTGGTACTTAATTGTACTTTGATCTTACTTTGTCAAATTTAGAGTGATAATTTTAGGTTTTTATTTTTTTTTCGTTAAATTGCACTATACGAGGGGTGATCAATAAGTAATGATAATCAATATGAAACAGAACTATTAGATTAAAAAAAGTATTTTATTTTTCAACATAGTCTCCTTGCAAGTTAATACATTTAGTGTATCTTTTTTCTAAGCCCATGATTCCCTTAGAAAAAAAATTATTTGTCATGACCCTCCCAAAATGCCTCTACTGCGGCCATCACTTCACTATTGTCCTCAAATTTGTTGCCCCGGAGGTGTTCTTTGAGCCGAGGAAAGAGGTAGAAGTCACTGGGAGCTAGATCTGGCGAATAGGGAGGGTGTTCGAGCAGTTCGAACCCCGTTTCTTCAATGGCAGCCATCGCAACTGCGGCTTTGTGAGCCGGGGCGTTGTCTTGGTGAAACAGCACTCCAGCGCGCAGTTTACCGCGTCTTTTTGACTTAATAGCTTCTCGCAATCTTCTTATTTGGCCTGCGTAGTAAGAGCCTGTTATAGTGGCCCCCTTTTCCAAATATTCCACCATAATAATTCCTTCTGCATCCCAGAAAACAGACGCCATAACCTTTCCCGCTGAACTTGACACTTTGAATTTCTTCGGCGTTGGTGAGGAAGCTCGTTTCCAAGTCATTGATTGTTGTTTGGTTTCGGGATCAAAGTGGTGGATCCAGGTCTCGTCCATGGTCACAAAACGCGACAAAAAAAATTCTTTATCGGCCTGGAACTTTTGAAGATTCACCCTTGAAATGTCGACTCGTTTCTTTTTTTGCTCGTCGGTTAACATTCTCGGTACCCAACGCGCAGAGACCTTTTTCATATGCATTTTGTTGACAATGATTTTTTGAACGCTGCCATAGGAGATCCCTGTGACCTCAGCTACATGCCTTACGGTCACCCTTCGATCGGCCAACACGATATCTTCCACTTTTTTGACGTTTTCTCCAGTAAGGGACGTGAAAGGGCGTCCCTCGCGATGTTCATCTTCAGTGGAGGTTCTGCCCAGCTTAAATTCCTTTGCCCAGCGTGCGACTGTGGAATATGGAGGAGCAGACTCCCCCAATGTTTCCTCTAAGTCGCTGTGTATGTCTTTGGTAGACATTTTTTTCAGGCAGAGGTACTTGATGACAGCTCTTATTTCATTTTTCTCCATTTTGATGTTTTCTCTTCGACAGTTCGTATTCAAATGAATGTATCTCCCGGTAATGGTGTCCTATTTATACATTTTTTTGAAGCTGAAGTAGTGGATATATAAGCAAGCAGAAAAAAAAATAATTTGGGTTTTTGTGCGTTCTAGAAATACTCGATTATCATTACTTATTGATCACCCCTCGTAGATAATGTCATTGATTGATGGGAACTATCCACTTAGAGAAGTATATAGCACACAAGTAATAAAATAATTATCGAAAAACATTGTACATATTGACACTAAGCATCGAATTACGTAAAAGAGAAACAAACAGGTGTAATGCATTGGTTTGGAATCCTGTGTCAACACTGCAGCTGTCCGTCAGTTAGCCGTTTTATAATCAGTACAGTTCTGTCAGCTTTGTACATGCCGTTCAGTTACAGTACACAGTTACAGATGCTCTTGGCATTAGATGTCTCGAAAACCCAAAAAAATTACAGCGAGACGCTACCGACGACGAGGAAAAGAAGTCGACACCGACGAAGGAGTGGATTGATGACCATCAATCTCAGTTATTTTCGAAACTCTCTCTTGATATCGTCACAATTTACAAGGTAATAAACAAATATTCGAATTTTAACTTAGGAATATTAGATTTTTATTTAAATAAAGCACAGATAAGTGCTAACTGTAACAGATGCAACGATAAATTCAAAGAAAGATTTTTATCTTAATGTTTTACGATATTTGATTTTATTTCAATAAATATATATTTGAATTAAGTTGATGTTTTAGTTTCTCTTCTCTAAAAGTTCTATTGCCTAAATAGGTTTGTTAATGTTAATATGAGTGGACACAACACAAAGAAAAACATTACGCATCATTGGGATATTCTGCGCTGATCTCCATTTCACGTGGAGGTAAATCCAATTCCTTAAACCCACAAACACATTCAATCAAACCAAACAAAGAATAACCCAAATATATCGCTTACTTTTTTTACATAAAATGTCAGGTAGATACGTGACGACAGAGGACGACCGGTTTTGTTCGAAAATTGCCCCGCGTCCGGGCTTCGGCGCAGGCGCAGCCCGCGCGCCGCCTTCGCCTGTTATAGCAAAACGTGTTTTATTAACGACCTTTGCGCGTTTCAATGACGCGTCATACTACGGTAGCATATTTCATACTGTTAGGTAGATAAGTGTCACACTGTATACGTCTCTATTCATAAAAGCATTAGAATAACTTCTTCTTTTCCTTTTTGTTCATATATATATATATTATATACTAAGAAATATATTTCTGAAAATATTGCCTTTACTATTATCTAATAAGCATTATATAATTTATTCCTATAGTTGGATAGAATCGTAGTAGTAAACTCGTCGTAGTAAACTTTGTGTGCTCCAAACATTCAGGCTCCGTTTCAGCAGTTAGACGTACAAATATAACATGCAGACACACAGATAGACAACCAGATTGGCATTGATAGTATTGGCAATGAATGTATTAGGTCTTGTAAACTAGGTTTTTTTGATCCACATACAAATTTTACTTCCACCTGCTTTGACGAGCTACCCTCTTTGTCTTTGGCCCACCACATTATTTAAAATAAAATCTTTCAAGGGGCCTTTTTGACGAGCTACCCTCTTTTTGTTTAACCATTTATAATTATTCTAAACCTTAATATTCTTTTTAGATTGCTTCACCGTATCATTAAAATTCTGGAAATCGTATTATATTTCTTTATCTTTTCATTTTTAGTTCAATGTTAGCGTGAAATCCGTCCGCAGATATGATTGTGTATGTTTCTTCGTTAGATAGTTGCTGGTGATCTTCTCTATAACATTTGTTGGGTTATAGGGTTGGGTTTAGGTCTTAGCCAAGGCTGTATAAATTGTCCGATTCTTATTTTTGGCTGAAAACCACTCCTCTCGCGCACTATTTCAAGAACCTAGTAAGCTTTTACCATAACAAAATCTAGTAAGTGCATGTGCCTTGCTAGGTTTTGAAGTAGTAAAGGCCAGTTACTAGGTTTTTGATCTGTTTTTTTGATATAGTATTGTACACTTACTAGGTTTCATGATGCTAAAATATCTGTTATTTATAAGATTTTATGAAAGTTAGAAATATCTTTTGATCTGGGGCAGCCGAGCAGCAGCGCGCTCGACGCCGCCGACTACCGACCGAAACGAAAATTTACGATAGTTCAAAATCGACTTTTTCAGTATTTCTACTTAATTGAATAAAACGACATTTTACCACGTTGTAGAGAAAGTCTTGACGAACAAAAGCGTTTTTGAAAATTCATTCCAAGTTGTCCTAAAAAATTTTTAGAGCCATTCCCCCGAAGACCTTTTTATCAGTTTTTTTTTTCAATATCGCGAAAGGTTTAAAACCGATCTTGCTGAAATTTTGTAAGCTAACTGGAGGCTACAAAACCCACATATTGACTAAATTTGGGGTCTTAATATTGATTAGAACGCAAGTTATAAATTTGTTTAAAAATGGTAAAAAACCGCGGTATTTTGAAATTTGCAAAGAAACTATTCAACCAATTGGGACTCTACAAGTCTCATTTTATTCGTCTTTTTACTGTATATTTTTCGTAAATTCACAGTTTCTTTGTACGATTTGAAGTTTTCTTGTCAAACGCGATAAACCGTTTTTGACATTTTTTTTAACAATGATCCCATGAACGGATCGTAACGTTGTCAAATAACGGATAAAATAGAAAATCTAGGTTATCAATTTCATGATTTTTAGACCCATTTTCCGCTAATTCTATCCGACTACAAGTAAGGAACCTGTCTTTAAAAAAATAAAATAAAAAATACTTGTAAGTAATCAAACATGAGCACTGTACTAAGTAGGATTCGATCTCTGGATTACGTTAATACTGCCTAATTCATTCAGATAACTAATGCATTGCAATGTTAAGACCAAAAAGTCCATTCATACGAATTAAAGTTTGTATTTTTACAAGGAGTAATCTTCGTGTACCTTTGTTCATATTTCCCGACAGATGTTCGGATGTTACTCCTGTTATTATTAGCTTGCCATTCAACCCAATGTCCACGCCACTGCACCCCACAGATTAACACACTAACGTTTTTTGTTACTTACATAGCTTAGGGTAGAGTGAGTAGGGTATTTAAATTACGTTTCAATATTTATTAATAAGCGTAATGTCAGTTTAGAATGATTACGCAGATTAAGAGCTGCAGTTACAGTAATTCGAGGTAGTCTTAGAAACTTCAAACAAAAGTGGTATAGATAATTTGTTGTAAAGCACTGTGAAATTGTAGATCGAAGATAAGATGAGATACCCATAGTACTTCAAAATATAATACGCTCATACATAATGTAAATATTTATGTATAAAAAGGTGTAATACGTTGTATGGTAATGGTAATGTTTTTATTTTTATCAACTATACTCAAAAATGAATTTGTGGGGCGTTGGATGGAGCGCTTAAAATATCTATCAACAGACAACCGCTCATGGTTTACTTCTGATAGAAATTTTAAATCATTTTTATTTTTGAATCTTATCAATGCCTAAATTAATGAGGAGATTGCTGTGATGACTGGTATCGACAACTTACCTTATATGTTTTTAGTATTTAATACATTGTTTACATTATTATTAACTTTAATAAAACTGCTATTTGAACCTTTTTGATCAAGAAGCGAATTGGGAACAAATCTGATAAACCGATTTACAACATTTAATCGCATAACTTATAAACAATAATGACATTTCTGTTCAACATTAGAGACAAATACCTATAGGCTACCACAATAAGGCAATTTAAGTATTTACTTTGTTTTCACTTGATACCTGCTATCTAAATAATCTTAATAATGTATTTTTAAATTACAAAATAATAATTGCAAGCAATTATATGGTATCCAGACTGCGTGTGAGTGTTATCATTACGTTTCGACAAAGCATCGCGTCGGTTGCTCGGTAATCAAAGCGATGCTCTTGCGCATGGAACTACGTCACCGCATCGTTCGTCGACAACATGGCCGCCGCGTCTCACCGAGCTCGTTTCCGGGAAACGCTGCGTGTGTGTGCGTACACAACGTCATTGTGTATAATACTTTTATGACTTATGAAGCTGATAGTCTTTAAACAATATTTTTGGACGAACTATCTGTTTAACGAATAATATTTGTATTAAATAACTTGTATATAAAAAGTGATTGACATTTATTTTCTTTGCAGGTTAGTGGTTCCTTTTTTGAAGAGTCATCTTAACGGTTTTAGACCAATCTCTCAAGTCTCGGCAAAAGAAATAAGTATACCTACTGTCAAACATGACTTCTCTTAATGACATCTAAGTGTAACATGAAACGACCAAGTTAAATTCATGCATTGACAAATCGCAGTCATATTCGCCTTAGCCTACACGACTAACTTAACAAGATGGGATGTTCTTAAAAATGGTTGTATCCATTTTTAAAGGACCTGACGTTACGTTACGTCCAGTAGGCGAAAGTTTGGTACCTACTTAACAACAGACGGGTCGCATAATAAACACGCCGATAAGGACTCAACTTACAAAAAAGTTTTTTTCTTAAATTACTTCATCTATTGTGCTCATGAACACAGATTAAGTTTCGAAGACTTGATAAATGTGTGATTTAAAATTAATGTTTATATCAACAGCTATTAACTTGTAACGTTAATGTTCTCAACTGCAACTGTAGGTAAGTCAAGATTTAAGAGTTCTATGGTTCACGGGAGAAAGCTTTGGGGAATAATCTGGAACGTAATTCCTTATTCCAAAAATATTTCACCTCAAATGTTGAGTTTATGATGTGTGCAGACAGAGAGCGGTCTTATTTAGCTTTGTTCTCTTAAACAATGCAATAAAGATTTTTTACCGAATGCTGTTTAAAGCAAGGATGTTACAGATTAAAAATTTTGAATATCTGAACTGTTACGAGTATATGATTAATATTACATAGGATTCGGATAGAGTTATGATTTGGAAATTATTTAGGAACTTCCGATTTAGGTTAGTTTCCGTTGCTGATATTAGATTCTTATAAAAAATAATTGATAAATAAAGGTAGGTGACGATATGTTTTATTTCCAGGTTACTTTGGTAGTAAAAAATCTAAAAAATAAAACAATTAGACACTAGTAATGATTATTGCTACTCATTTATATAAATAGGTATATACTCGTATATATTCTGATTTGTGTCTGGCAAAACACGTTTTATCCACACTAATATTATAAACGCGAAAGTCTGTCTGTCTATCTGTATGTTACCTCTTCACGCTTAAACCACTGAACCGATTTAAATCAAATGTTGTATAGAGATAATTCGAGTCCCAGGAAAGGACACAGGATAGTTTTAATCCCAGAAATCGTCCTTCAAGGGGGTGAAAAGGGGGTGGAAGTTTGTATTAAGAAACAATAACCGGTGAACCGATTTGTACGACATTTGATATGGAGATAGTTTATTTCTTGGGGAAGGACATAGGCTACTTTTACCAGGATAATAAAAAGTTTAGAATAAAAAGAAAATCATTCGAGAGATAAGGATTCGGTTATGGTTTTGGATATCAGATATTTTCGGTTTACGTCACGGTGGTTCATCATAACATCTCTAATTTAAACTATCAAACAATAAAAGAAACAACTATGTATTGTAAATAATTATAGTTAAAAGTGTCCTTTAAATGATTGTTTTAAATATTCATATCCACGTGTTACCTTTATATGCCAAGTTGCTTTGCCAACACGGATGTTAGAACATGGCTCGTTAAAATGACGTCACCAGCGACCTCTGGTGTTCACATGCAAGTCTATGCAGAATTTCTAGGATTTGTTTTTAAAAAACATACTACGTCAAATTTTAATATAACTTTTAGTAGTCATAAAATGGAGGCCTAGAAACAAATGCTCTACACAACGATACTTTAAACATCATAATGTATTCGTATTTTTTTATATCATTCTAGCTGTACTTAGCTGTGACACTTACTGACGCGTAAAATAGATAAAAAAATTCTTTGAAGCAGTTTGTATATTGTGTCAAAATTTGAGCTCAATCGGTGCAGAACTTTTTTAAGTTTCTGAAACGTACACACACCAACTTAACATTTTTACATATATATATATTACAAACATACACTCACGCCTATATTCTCAAAGGGGTGGTCATAAACGTGTTAAACGCCCACCGTGGGAGAGCCATGCTTCGGTACGAATGGGCCGGCTCGTCCGGAGTGATACCACGGCCTCACAGAAAACCTGTGTTAAGCAATTCTTTCGTTGCTTTCACTGAGTGAGTGAGGTTACCGGAGCCCAAATCCCCCCTTTTGTGACCCCCCTTGTCACTTTTGAGTTGCAGGTGTACATGGGCGGCGGTAGTTGCTTACCATCAGATGACCCGTCTGCTCGTTTGCCCCGTTTTACCATAAAAAAAACTGTAATTTGAATACCACTTATATAATACGCGGCAAGCCTATCGGTGTAACCGGAAACTTTAAAAATTAAATGGTAAAATTTGGAGTATGACGAATGGAAAGGTAAATGAAAAAAAAAAAAAAACCATTGGGAAAAGAATATTGCCTTGTT